CCCCAAAACCCCAAAACCCCAAAACCCCGGATAGATATTTGATAGTGGAATTGGCCTTTTTAATCAAATTAAATTATTCTGATCGCAACATTCTCGATTTACTTGCTTGATCTTTCATTTTAAGTTTCATTTTCACTAAAAATGTGTTATTTTGGGACAAATGATAATTCAAACTCTGCAGATTGGAATGATTCAGAATCTTTAGAAAACAAAAACATTCCAAAAGCTTATAAGATTGAAGATATCTAACAAAACACAAGGTTCTCATGCGTTATTATTCACTATTCAAACACTTACTTCCTCCTTTTGGCAGCAGCTTCTTTTTTCTTCTTTGTCTGCGCTTGAACTTCTTCCTAAATTGCTTATTTCTAAAAATTATTCCTAGTCTTACTTGATAATTCTCTGTAATTGCTCTGTATGATCCTTTGAATGCTCAGTAGACAAGAACTGGTCTATAGGATAACATAACGAGCATACCTCTCTTCCTCTGCAAGGCAATATATCTCATGAGCATCGCAAGCTATGGGGTTACTAGTGCCTTACCTTCCTGAAGAATGCATGTTTAGTTCCAAGTGTTAAGAACAATAAGTAGAGCCATTTTATAATAAACAGGATGTTGAATATCACCATTATGATCAGCAAGATATTGTTCAAAGAAGCCAGAGTCTTTTCTTGGTTGAATATTAATCCACAACAAAGAGTTATAATACTTATGTTGATTCCAAAAATTTCTATTTCATTGTTCTGTCGTAGTTTATATGGCTCTAAGAAGTCTTGTAACCTCCAAGTTATGAGCAACACTCCCAGAGCAAACATTATTTGGGCAGAAGTAGGCAGCGTGAATGAAATCAGGATACAAACTTTTCTCAGACTGTTGACGAACTCCCAATAGAAATGTTTTAGTCTAAGTCCTTGATACAGAATCAAAAAATATTGTCTGACAACATTAGACTCTTCTCCAACTCGAGTTTTCTTATACATAACAATGAGGGCAAAAAGAGGCATTGCGGTAACCCATATGACAAGTATAGGTAAGCCCAATATTGCTATCCATTTGCCATGCTCTGATGAATAGCAATCGATATCAGTGTCAATTCTTGTCTTCATAACTCCTTCATCTATCTTGACTCATCTAAATAAGTTCATACTCTCTTGAGCGAATTTTGGATGCAGGAGGAAGACAATACTGACAAATGAGATAACCAAGTTTCTTGTCAGGTTTGGCACCCACTTTGGTTTGATGTAGTAGATCAAAATCCATATAAGAGTAACGAAAAGAAAGATGATCAATGGCAACCAGATCAAAAGGAAGATCTTAAAGAATATAGATGATGGGAACGGCCCTTTGATCTCAGAATCCATTACAAATCAATCAAATGATAAGAAAGCCTCTGAAGAGCTCCCCACTGTTTCTGCAGGAACAAGAATATCACTAAGGGAGCTAGGGTATTTGGTACTAAACGATAAGCTCAAAGAAATAATCTGAACATAGTTCGTAAGGATCCTGAGTAAAATAGAAATTTCACTTTCACTTGTCTTTCTGACATTCACAATGATAAGAACCATGAAGTAAGCAAATACAGCGAATCCAACAAAGATTACTCTGATCGCATTGAGTATTGGATTTGGACATTTTTGACATACGAAGCCACCCACAGCTTGATATTTATCATTCTCAGTGACACTTCATTTTGTGCAAAGATTTCCCTGATATCCTGTAGCTCAGTTAGTGGGCTGAATTTCTGAGTTTTGAAAGCCCCCGTCTCAAGCCTCTTTATTTATTCATTCAACAACTGATGTGGAATTCAAAGAAACTCTCCAGTGGCCAGGGTTCACATTGATTTCAGTTCCTCCAGAACAAATAGCATCATCCATTCATTGGTTGCACTCAGTGCTATTCCAAGCAAAAGAATAAGTCCCAGCTGAGCAAGTATTGCAAATGTTGTCTACAATTCTTTCCCCAGGCTTGCAGAATCGAGTGTCAACTTCAATCGTGTTATTGCTGATAGGACTACCAAAGACATTTCTGATCTTTATCTGGTCAATTGCCTTTGATGATGCAGTTATAATCACATCTTGATTGCCAGGGTTAGTGTGAACAATAAAATTATCAAAGCTTGCAATTCCATTGACTAAAGGCTGAACGTTAAATCCTTTCATTTCTGCAACAGTTGAATTAGCAGCAGTCAATGAAATTTGGTTCTGACTGTCAAGCACCATTACTTGGTCATCATAATCTTTAACTGCAAATTTAAGAGTTTCATCGTAAGTAATTCCTGGAGCCAAATTTTCTAATTTCATCACATCAGATGAAGTTCCCTCAAATACTATCTTGACAGCATAACTCGCTATGTTTTTACCGTACTGGGCAGAGTTTTTGAAGTATTTAATGCCTTGACCAAATGTAGGCCTCTTATAGTCATAGTACACAGCGCCCCCTCTTTCAGTTGCATTGTTCATCTCAAATATTGAGCTTGGGATGGATAAACTTCATAGAGAGGTTGATGTGCAAGTGAAGGAGATTGCACCTCCATCATGAGCAGAATTTTGTCTAAAGATGTTGTCGCTCAGTGTAACATCAGAGTTTGTTATGTGTAATGCTCCTCCATTGATTTTACTTGAGTTTCCATTGCTTTCAAAGGAGGAATTTTGTAATAACTCTACTGTACTTGATTCAATGTACACTCCATCTTGGCAGTTCAACACATTCATATTTGTAATAGATATCATATTAGAACTGAGAATCCTGACTCCACTTTTCTGTGTATTTTTCAATACAGCATTTGACAGTGAGATGTTCTGAGATGATTCTAATCTAAGCAAGCTTCTTCCAAGCACTTCAGATAAAGTTGAAGTCAAGCCTGAGATTGTGCTGTTATATCAACTCGAGATAACCCCGAGTTCGATTGCATTAGCAATGAGTCCATAGGTCAACCCTTGAATATTCACTTGCGAACTCCTGGCCCTGAATATGATTGAAGTTGAGTTCGTAATACTGAGAGTGCTGTCTAGAGTGTCGAGGATGTAGTCTACTTGATCGGTCACTGTGAAGTTTACGAAACTCAGATTCGTCAGTGATATAGTAGAAGAGACTCCTCTGATAGCAATGGCTTCCATCGTAAAGTCTCTGATTACAGTATCAGTTATTTCAAGAGTCGACACAAATGAATCGACGACCAAAGATTCCTGATTAATTTCTGTTGCCGAAATCATTGACAGAGAAGCAAAGATCAAAGAGAACTGGTACTCGTTATGTGTTTCAGACATTTCAGATAGAAAGTTGGAACTAGAGTAGTCTCTGAAGTTCTGGTTGACAAATCACAACTGTGAACACGAAGAGAACTCTGAAATAATAGATGCTTTTGAAAAAGCATGATTCAAATATATCTTAGTGTTTGATATCACTGAAGTCTCGGCAGTGTCCAACAACTGAGAAACTGGGTTTTTATTAGCATGATTGTTGTAAATTAAACTATCATAAATTTCGAAATGACCATTCGAAACTACATTAATGACACCACTCGTGATTGCAAAGTTGCTAGTAATATTGCAGGAGTATATCTTGATGACACTTTGCTCTTTCACATTGAAGACTCCTCCATTTAATGCAGAGTTGTTCTCAAATGTTGAATTGCTAATTACTGTGATGGTATTACTTGAGCCTCCAGAGAGAACTCCTCCATCCTGATAAATATACATGTTCTTGAAGCTAGAGTCAGAGACGAAGAGTCTGCCTTCTTGCTCAACATTTAAAAACGAGGCTTCATTCTCCTGAATGTTTTCAGCTGTGATATTAAACAGATGTACACTGGCCAGCAAGTCTGGGTTCTCTACTTTTGTGGAGGCAATGTTGATGATCCCTTGCTTGATGTTCATAAACCTTGAATTTGAAATGGTCAGGTTGGAAGGTAACTGCTGGTCAAGATTGAGTAGATAACCTTTACTCTTGAACTCAATATCACTGAAAGTCAGATTATCAAAATTTAGCACTAAGTCTAGATCATACTGAATCCCTTCAGTTCTGATGATCGATATCTGACTTAAGAGGTTACTATTAGTAAACTCAATATTTTTGAAATTGATTAGTCTAGTAGATGGAGGAGTATTCACGAAAGTCGGCATGGATATTAAAGAGATCGACGAGTTCTGATACTGTATCTCACCAATTTCAATATTCTCTGTAGAGTTCAAATCAATCTGGCTGACCAGAAAAGAAGTACTCAAAATATCCACTGAGCTTGAAGAAGAGACATTGGTGAAGATCAGATTATTAATTATCAGATTCTTCACACTTGCAATCTGTATTAAATTCGAGCTTTCAGAATATCTGAGATTTGAGAAAGTGATTCTTTCAAAGATCAAACTTTCTACTGGAGATGTTGCTGACAAAACCCTATAGAAAATATATAGTTAATTTCTTAATAGAAAGCCTTATCTGCATTTTAAAATGGCAGATGCTCAGCCAAATGCGAAGACGGATAAAGCTTGGTTCAAATTAGTCAATAATTCGAGCATGAGGCAAATTGGTAAAATCAATCATAAGTTATCCTGTGAAATTTTAACATGAAATAGAGATCTTCTCTAATACTAGAGTATTACAAATGAATTTTCAAAGCTTTGTAAAACCATAATGCTATTCTCTCAATAGCTTAAATACTTAAATATCTGTTTGAATGAAGTACTTGAAAACAGAAATGAAAGAATCTACTATAACATATATTTTACACTTGAAAACATACATGATTTCATCTTGTAGTCTTAGCTTTTCCAGAATTTACGAATTGTAAAATTTGTAAATAAAGTCATGAAATAATACACACTTTGTATGAAATTTAGGACTTCAATTTCTCAAATAATTTCCGACAAAGATACAGCAAGCAATTAGTAAATGCTTTAAAGTAGAGAAAGAGACATAATAATTGCTCTAGAACTGTTAGCCTCTATCTTTATGCTCTAGATTACCAAAAGGGTTACAAAGAAGATTCTAAGGTAGAATTAACTTACATTGCCTTCTGATTTTTGAGATCAGAGTCTTCAATCACAAAATCTCGGATAGTCCCATTCTGAGTAGGATTATTGGTCAGACTAACCAGGTGACCTATTGGAGAGCTGTGCCCTGTGAAGTTCCTGAAGGTAATTCCTTCAATTTTGATCGTATCTGAATAATCTAAGAGTATATGCCCATTTGGATGTGAAGGAATATCTATGATTTTAGTGAAAACATTACCTTCAAACGTCATATTTTTGAACTCTACCATTCCTATAGCAAAGTTAGTAATGAAAAAGATATAGGTGATTTCTGGCACGAAGGAAAAAGAGCTTCGTAGTTATCAAGCTAGCTAATTTATAACAAGAATTACTTTGAGAAATAACAATTGTGTTGTAAGCTCAGCAGGATTAATGTCTTAGTTTGGATTCAAAGATGTGCTCAAATGGGGAATAAAAATTATCTTTCAGGAATCTGAAGAGTCTAAGGCTAAGTTCTTGGATACTAAATTATTCCCATCAAATTAGGATAGCTACAGGAGCTCATAGCATCGTCTTCCTCTTCACCATGGCTTATTTAAATCCATTAGTGAGTATTTAATAAAGAATGTTTAACGATGCTAACCTCCATTTTGCTGGTGATTTAATTAAATTTATAAGAAGAAAAATATTATGATTTTTTATTTTAACATATCTTGGTGAGGCTGAGAGAGGTTCCCATAATTCCGATGAATCTAAGATGGATATGGCTCACTGCAATTTTAGAGATGATAAATACCTCAAATTGCAAAATATTATATTGATAAGGTGAAATTTATAGAGTTACCATAGAAATTGATTAGAAATACCCAAAAAGTGAAATATTATGAACAAATTTTGATCATTTGTCAAACTTACCTCCTGTGATCCAGACAGAACTAGAAGTACTATCGTAGTCTTTCAAGTGGAAATTTCTCAGGTTCACAGTGTCCCCTGAAGCCAAGAACATGATCACATAGGCTAGAGATGCTCCGTAAGCTTTCTCTAGATTAAGGTTAGATACATTAATAATCTGAGGGCGGCTATAAGAGACTCCACCAGTTATAACAAACAAGTTTATCTTTGCCTTAAACACATTGTCAGGCAGAGCTGTGTGCACTGTGTCTATTTCCACTAGCTTCATCAGGCCATCTGAAGGAATTCAGGGAGGTTCGATTGATATGAGAAACGTGGCCAACCCTAACTTAGCTAGCCCATAATTCGCAGAAATATTAATATTTTTAGCAGTAGCATTTCCAGGGCCAGAATAATAGAGTACATTAGGTCTGTATGCTTCAGCCTCGTCGCTCAGTACAGCAGCAGTGAAGTTATTTACATAAAATGTGGGAGTCCAGAAGGCTTCTGGGTAATTGCAATCAGGCCAAAACATGATGCCAGCAATGACTTGGTAAGTATTCATAAACAAGTTCTCTAAGTGCACATTGCATGGATCTTTGGTGTATAACACAGTTCCAGTCACATGGAACTCCACATCAACTAAAAGATTATTTGAAAAAATTGACAAGTTTTGGAATTTTTAATAACTCCGAGTCAACTTACTTATCTTAATTTCCTTTCGTTGAAGATACAAGAGATATATAAGCACACCGCTTGTTGTCGTTTTTGCGATTCTCCTTGCAACTATTTTTGACATTTCAAGTGAAGTTCTGACTCATTGAAATGTGTCTCCTCCTCTTCCAATGGATCCCACCTCAGCATCTGAAAAATTTCCTGCAGAAACCACAGATCCAATGTCTAGGGTAAGATCCTTCATTAAATGGAAAGCTGCTTTCTTGCTCAAACCTTCAACTATAGCATCTGTCGTTGTGATGGTAGCCATGCCTTGAGAAATAGAATTTTGATTGTAAGTCGAAACAGACACTTGTGTAACATTTATGAAGAAAGCAGTTGAGTCTTGAATGAAGACATTTGCCCCTTCTTTGATAAAAATACTAACTTTCCTATCTTTATGAGAGTGTTGCTTTAAAATTTCAGCAAAAACAGGAGATATAGTTCTGTATGGATAAGCTTTCGTGCCTAGCTCCATTATTTCTTCACTTGTGGGGTCTACATAATAATCCATACTTCTTCAAAACGAGCTAAGTTTATATTGTACAGGATCCGAGATTTGGATCGTACCAACTGGACAGCTAGGCACTCAGGTCATGGTCTCAAGATTGAGAACTTCTGTTGGGCTACATGTAAATCAGCTTTCTTGGTACTCTCAATACCCGCTGCATGAGTTATCTCAATTGTTTCATTGTGTTCGAGAAAAATCATAGAACTCTCCATCAGGTCAATGGTCACACATCCCTGTCATATCATCCATAAACATATAATCATCACACTCTGTACACTCTCCATCCTGACTACATGTCTTACAGGAGCTTTCACAAGGAAGTCAGCCCCCTCCGCTATCATAAAAGCCATCTTCACAGCCTAAAGCTATTCAGAAGAATAGCCATAGTAAGAGAATTATCATCCAATTATTTTATTTCAAATGGATTTTGGACTTATGGGGTTTTGGGGTTTTGGGGTTTTGGGG